ACTTCATAAGTGCCCTTCTAGAAACTAACTCTTCAAACACAAGGTATTAGATATGTTGAGAAAGAGAGGCCATAGGCTCTAGACCAGGAACAGCAGCAGCTCTGCTGTAGCCACAGAGAGCAGTCCCAGGAACCTCAGCCCCGGCTCCCATAGTGCTGTAAGGAGCTCATGGGACTTGATCAGGGTGGTTTATTTTCCTAGCAGAGCAGGAGGTTGTGGGAGACCCTGAGGAACAGCCTGGCATCACTTTCAGCTGCCTCTCCTTGGGTTAACTGGAGAGAAGCAGGTGCCTGCATCCAAAGTAAAATAAGGTGGAGCCCAGCCCCAGCTGGTCTCATTCTTCTCCAATGGAAACCCTCCAGGAGAAGGGGAAGCCCTTAAACTCGGGGATATTTCTTTGCCCAGTTCTCCACCCTTCTGCTGGAGAAGAGGCCCAATAGGAAGAAAATGACTTCCCAGGGGCTCCCATCAACCTGGCTCTGGTTAGTCCCTCTTGAAGGAGGTCTGTCAGCTCTGTGGATGGAAAAGCTTCTCCCTTGTGACAGCAAGACCACCTTCCAATGTTGGGTACCACAGAGGAACCAAACCCCTAAGACCTGGAAGCCTAGAATATTCAACTTCAGGGAAGCCCTGTGATGATTCATCTTGATTGCCAACTTGATGGCATTTAGAATCACCCCCAAAATAAACCTCTGGTATGTTTGTAAAGGAGTTCCTAGATTGTAGTAGTTGAAATAGGAAGACCCACCCTAACTGTGGGTGGTGCTGTTCATGGGCTGGGGGTGGATTTAGTTAAAAGGAAAAAGTGAGTGGAGAACCAGCATTCATCTCTCTCTGCTTCCTGACTGTGGGTACCAAGTGACCAGCTGCCTCAGACTCCTACTGCTACGCCTTCCCTCCCATGACAGACGTGGACTACACTCTCAGACTATAAGTCAGAATAAACCCTTCCTGCCTTAAATTGCTTGTCAGGTATTTTGTCTCATTAAAAGAAGATTAACTAATAGAGGCCCAGAGAGAGGAAAGTTTTACATTATGAGAGGAGTAGAGGCTACTCTGAGCCAGCCAGTGAGGGATGGAGAGAGCCCAGAGAGGTAGATGCTATGAACACACATGCATAAGTGCTGATGTCTGGGGTTGTTAGCCGACACCCAGGCAGGTGGATGGCAGTCCATTTGGTATGGGCTTTGGAAGGCTTTGGTAATACAATTTCAGTTTTGAAAAGGGCTCAACTGAAACATGAATGGAGCAACAGGGAAGCAGTACCCCCAAATCCACAGGCACTGGGGTCCCCGAGTGACCTGACACCATTCCCAACCTCTCTGTTTCCTTATCTGCGAAGCACAGAAAATAATCCCACTGCACCAACATCTCAAGAGCACCGAGGAGGATCCAGCACGGGAACTCATTCAATTACCAGCCCCACAAACACAAGAGGCTGTTGTTGCTCACAAGGCAGGATGAGTTTGGCCTCAGAGAAGAGACTGGGTTTTGTCCCTGAAAGGAAGGATGTGACAATAGGGGAGAGCATTCACCAAGGGCAGGCAGGTGATTCAGAGCACAATTTGGTGCCAGGATGTGCCCAAGGGGTCACTGTACTCAATGTTACTTCCTAACAACCCTTCAAGATGGAGCTCAGTGTATCTGTGATGATTAAACTTGATTGAATCTGGGATTATCTAAGAGATATGCTCCTAGACAGGAAGCTGCTCCTGTAGAGGCATTTTCCAGAAAGATTCACTGAGAGGGGAGGACCCTCCTTCAGAATGGACAGAACTTTCCCACAGTAGACTAGGTATACAGAGGCCTAAGGGACAAACTATTGCTTTTCGCCTGCCTGCCCTCCTCCTTGCTGGTAAGAGCATCTACTGTAGTGCTGTCATGGCTGATGCCATCCTTCCCTGACATCAAACCAGCTTCTTCAGCCTTCCCTCCAACATGGCCTGAAGACCCACAGCTCTCTAGGAATCCTCCAGGCCTTCAGTGCCAGATTGGGACTGCTGAGGCATCCAGCCTTGTGGACGGACCAGTTACTGGGTTCTCAGCCTCTCCAGCATACAGAAAGTCATTGCTGGACTACCCAGCCCATACCATGTAAGCCAATCTAATAAATCCTTGTGAATATATATATATATATACATTCCATGGGTTCTGTTCTTCTAGAGAACCCTGCCATTAGTCACATGACATATCCTTTTCCAGATGGAACATCAGGGACCCAGGAAAGTTAAAGAACTTGCTGATAGTCACCCAGCTGGGCACAAGAGAAGAAGCAGAAAGACGCCCCCCCTCCATGGTCTGTCGGCTTCTAGAGTCACTGCCTACACAATGTCAAAGCTCTTAGGGAGTGGCATATATAATCTCAAGAGGGAAATGGGCAGGTTAGAATCCATAAGATGACACTTTAGGGACACCCTCCACCAACCCAAGCTGGATAAAGCTGTTTCCCTAACATGGTTGCCTTGTGGGCTATTGGGAAGAGAGTTAGCTCTTCAAATCAGATCTACAACTATGCGCTTAGTCATAATTATTACAACAAACTGATCACAAATAGTTCAAAAGTGCTGGGTATAATGGGCTACCCCTGTAATCCCATCACTCAGGAGCCTGAGGCAAGAGGATGGAGAGTTTGAAGACTAGGCAACATATACCCTATTTTGTTTTGTTTTGCCTTAATAGTATAAAGGCCATTTCAATGCAGGGCTGCATTTTGGCCTACCCAGGACACTGGAAGCCCTAGAGACATCATAATATCAAGGAGGCCACTGCTGGAGGCAAGTCTCCATCTTCCTGGTCAGGAGCCAACTTCTCTCCTTCCCATGGCAGCAGTGACCATCTTCCACCCTTGCTCAGACTGTGTGATTGGGTTCGAAGCCTGAGCCTGCTCCATTCTGCGTGACCTCCCTTCCCAAACCATTGCTAAAGCTCTGAAAACCTATTTCAGCTACTGTGTCACCCTGTGCGGGGAGCATGGTGCAAGCCGGGGTTCCTGAGGTGAAGGAACTGGAGAAAAGTGCTGGATGGATCAGGAAGACAGAGGCTGCCTTTGAAGACATCTGTCCTCCAAGATACTGAACGTCTGCTTGGCTTAACCAGATCCAGGGAGAGATGGAAAGGAGGTGGAGGCGGGAGCTCCAGGCAGCAGAGATGGCTACAGACAATGTGGACATGTGGGAATGAGGTGAGGCGGGGGTCAGCTGGGGGGCAGAGTTGCCTAAAAGATGGGCCGGTGATAGCAGATGTGAAAGGTCCGGAAGCAATGGTCATGAAGACAATGAGGAGCCACCTGTAGACACTTGGGCAGATCGGCAAGGGGCAGGTGGGAGGCTCCTTCCTTCCTGTGTGACTGTTTCACTGTTCTAGAGGAGGAGTGGGACTGGAGGTCAGGCAAATTCTCCTCATTAAGAGAAGGTCCTGTGACCTGTGCATCCTCAGGAGAACCCCTAGGTACGACTTTTGTGGTCTGCCTTGCAGTAGCAGATGGAACCAGCCAGATGCAGCCCCTCTCAAGGCCACAGAGACCCAGAGGAAAGGTAACCTCAGGACAAAGAGGGACCCATGCAAAGGAACACAGAAAAAAGTGACAGTGGCCCAGGCTCTGGGGTGGGGTAGGGTGAATAGGAAGTGGGCAGAGGCTTAGGGAAATTTTGAACATGATGGAATGCAGCCCTCATCTATGTACAGACAAAGGTCCGTCCTCAGAACCTGAATCCCAGTTCTACCTTTTCCTCTCATACACCGGGTGACTTGGGCAAGTGACTTCTCTCTGAGGCTGTGTCCCCTCACCTACAGACAGAAGAGGATGTAAGACCGGGCTCAGAAGGTCCTCTGTGTCTTCCTCCTCCAGAAGTCTGACACAAAGAGTGAGGGGAATGGAGATGCATGTCTGCAGGCCCTGGGGGATGGCACAGGGCACTGGTGGGAGGCTACATGGTATAGAGATCATGCCCGACCTACCCAGGTCCTCAGACTCTTTTTTCTTTTTGAGACAGGGTCTCCCTGTAGCTCCAGCTGTCCTGGAACTCACTGTGTAGACCAGGCTGGCCTTGAATTCACAGAGATCCACCTGCCTCTGCTTCCTGAGTGTTGGGATTAAAGGTGTGGGCCACCACGCCCGGTTCCCCAGACTCTTTTTTGAGGCAGGATCTCATGTAGCCCAGAGTGACCTTAAACTCACTATGTAGCTAAGGACAGCCTTGAGTTTCTGATCTTCCTGCTTCCACTTCGTCAGATACTAACTGGGTCTTTAACTCAGACCCACTGGTCCACTCTTCACTGCCATCCTGAGAGCTGGGATTCCAGGTGTCTGCCACCAAGCATGGTTTATGCACTTCTGGGAACTGAACCCAGGGCTTCATGCATGCTAGGAAAACTCTACCATCTGAGTTACAGCCCCAACTCCTCCTCTGATTTTCCAAAGCCTGCTTGGCCAAAGATGTGGAGCACAGGCGCACACCAGCTCCAAGCTCAGGCTGCTGACAGGAGCCCTTTCCCTGAGAGGTTCCAGGGAACTCTGATAGCCTTTGGGAGAGAGGAGACCCTTGGAGAGTCACAGCCATGCCCCCCCTCTACTCCCCTCCCCATCTGGTTTGCGGAGATGGAAAATGTAGAGGGACCCCAGCTCAGAGTACAGGCAGTGACCAACCCCCTGGCTTCCTCCCGTGTTGGCCCTGCTGACTTCTCTCTTCTACCCTCTCTAAGCCAGGCTGCCTGCCTTCAAATCCAGCCACTTCTTTTCCAGCTATGACTTGGTTGTGCCTCAGTTTGTCATCTAGGAGACAGGGCTAATGAGTCTTTCTCCCAGAAGGTGAGGAGCAATCACTATTGCCAAGGAAAGCCCCCAAAGGGTATCTGATCAGGTAGTGCATTGGTGGTTTCTTTTATGCAGACAGGCTGAACTTTGAGCCCCTTTCAGTCCCCCAGAGGCCAATGCACATGAGGCCTGGGCTCAGACAGCAGTTAGGGAGGGTTGACTCTGCATCCAAATGACTCAAAGAGGAAGGAAAGGCCTGCTGTCAGGGGTCCTTTCCATAAGTCCCTACCACAGAAGTTTCTCTGCACACACAAAACACCGGAAACCACAAGTGGGAGCTCAGCATTCCCTCCTTAGCCTGAAGCCACTCCCTGGTGCTTCCTGGCTATGGTTGCAGCTGTGCTTTGCTGTCCCTGATCTCTTCTCTCCCTTGGGGAGGAAGAGGAGGAAGATGCTGTCTGAGTGGCAAAAATAGATGAATAGGGAGCAGGGCCCCAGCACTGGTTTGGTGCAACTTCAGGCATGCTTCCTCCTCTTCACCCTCCTCCTCCTCTTCCTCCTCCTCCTCCTCCCCTTCCTCCTCCTCCTCCCCCCCCTCAACTCACTCCAATTGGTCTGAGTCTCCCATGCTCTACTGACTCTCCTTTGCCAAAGCTCAGCCCTCTGCAAATGCATTTCCCTCTAAAGTAGGTGCACCTGATTTCAGGAATCCACCACACACCTACTTAAGTCCCTTTTAACCCAAAGTTCTTGAGGCACAATATCTCATTCTCCCCACTTCACAGATAAAAACATAGAGACCGGAGTGGGGATGGATAGGGCTTGCCTAGTGTCACTCAGATGTAGAACAGTCTTAGGAAATCAGGTCTGCCAGGCATTCTCCAGTTCCACCCACCAAATCTGGCACCTATCTTCAAACCAGGCTCTGACATCCAGCCATATCCAACAGACACAAGGAAAGGTGGGGAGTCTGATCAAAGCTGGACCACACACATGGCTGAGGCGAGCACTGGATGAAAACCTTCCTAAGCTTTGTCTCCATGACCCCATAAAGAGAGGGCTCCCACCCTGGTGTACTCTGCCTTCGTTACTCTCTGTATCTGTGACAAAAGGCAGATTGATTAATTGTTGTGGATATATGTGTTTTAGCATAGAAAGTGTAGATGCATTGTAAAGCTAAAAGACACAAAAAGACAGGCAGTGAGAATAAAGTGTCTTAGCTTGCTTTCTGTTGCCATGACCAAGCAACTTAGGGAGAAAAGGGTTTTATTTTAGCTTACACTTCCAGACCACAGTCCATCATTGTGGGAAGCCAAGGCAGGAGCTGGAAGTAGAAACCAACATTTGACTGCCTTTTTTATACAGTGCAGGCCCACCTGCTCAGGGATGGCACTGCCCACATTGGGCTGGGCCCTCCTACATCAATCAGCAATTAAGAAAATGCCCCACAAAGACACCCACAGGCCAATCTGATAGAGGAAATTCCTCAATTGAGGTTCCCCCTTCCCAGGAGTGTCCAGTTGACAACTAAAATTAGTCATCACACTGGGGAATGTGCTCAATTGATAGAGCACTTGCCTAGCATGTGTGAGGCCCTGGGTTTTATGCCCAGCACTACATAAATCTGGGGTGATGGTGCATACCTGTAACCCTGGAACTCAGAAAGTGGATTCAGGGATCAAGAATTCAAGGTCATCATTGGCTACATAGGGAGTTTGAGGCCAGCCTGGATTACATGAGACTCTAAATCAGTTGATCAATTAATCAACCAAAACTGGGTACTACCCTTACCAGTTTCCTGAAAGCCTTCCAGACACTATTATGTCATCTTATTCGGCTACAAACAGCACCAAGTGTGTGTGTCCACGCATGTGTGTGTGTGTACTCTTTTCCTCTCCCTTCACACAAATGATAATGTGTCAAAACACAATCACACACCAGGTAATGATGTCTGTGATGGTCCACATCTCTGACAGCTATCTCATGATGATGGGACCAAAACTTCCTGTCACCTAGCATCATCAAAGCCATGCTAAGGTTGAAACACATATGTGTGGTGATGCTAATGTAAATAAACCAGTCACAGTACCAGTCCTGTTCAACCACAGCACATAGAGCTGTGAATCGTTGCTAATAGTTAATAATGGTAGCAAGTAGTAGTCCTGCGAGTGGCTTATATATTCACAATGTTTTATCATTAATTTTATTTACTTTGAGGGGAGCACATACCATGGTGTGGGTGTGGAGGGTCAGAGAACAAGTTTTGGGAGTTGGTTCTCTCCTTCTACCATGTGGGGCTGGCAGGTTGAACCTCTACTGCCTGAGCCATCTCACCAGTCATTTTATCGTTATTTTAGAATATCCTCCTACTTAAAAAATGCTTTTACAAAATAGTAAGCCACACTATGCCAGGAACTGTCTCACACATCTCGGGTTGGCCAGCATTTCTGATGATTTATGTGAACAAGTTCTATGATGCTTTCGCATAGTTGTCTTAAGATGAAGTTCTCAGAACAGGTCTCCATCACTAAGCACCATGTGACTGAATAACCTGCAGCCTTCTAGGAACATATAGAGATCACTTTTCCTTTTCAAAAAGTACTGTACATGTGTGTGTATGTTCATGTGTGTGTAGATGCATACACACGTGTGTGTGTGTGTGTGCGTGTGTGTGGAGGCTGAAGGATAACCTCAAGAATCATTCCTCAGTTGTTGTCTACTTTTTTATTTTTCATTTCTTTTCTGAGACAAGGTCACCTTGCCAAGTAAGATCACCTTGCCTCACTGGCTGATGATCCAGCCCCAGAGATCTGGCTGGCTCCACCAGCCCCTCAGCAATGGGAATCACAGGCCTGAGCCACCATGCTCAGCTCTTTCAAAGATGTGATTTCTTGGGATCAAACTCAAGCCCTCATGCTTCCAAGTCAGCTATCTCCCCAGTTCTTACACTGCTTTTAGATATAACAATAACTTGTGTTTGGTATGGCTCTGTTCTGTGTATTCATTAGGCACCACTGGGAGCTCTTCCATTCTGTGCAATGTCACTGTCACCCAGGTAGGTCCTCTATGTAGCTGTTTTGCTGAGAGTTATGCAGAATTCCATGGTAGGGATGCCACTGATTGTCTCCTCAGCCTCTTCTTGATTACCTCTCCCATGATTGCCAGCTTTTATATAATGCTGCAACAAGAGACACAGCACATACTTCTGCATCTGGTGTCATGACACAGCCCTAGAGCAGGATGTGCTGGGCCACAGGGAAGGGTAGCTGTTGTCTGGGAAGATGTTGCCCAGTGGCTCTCCCCAGAGGTACCACAGCCTCCCACTCCTGCCCATCCTCCTGCCAGTGTCTGTCCCTGCATCCTCAGCAGCAGAGCATTGCTGTGCCTTTGATCTTTTTCAATCTGATGGTTGAAAGAAGGTCTCTTATTGAAGTCTTAATTTGCATTTCTTTTATGAGTAAGGCTGAGTAACTTTTCATAGGTTTAAGAGACATTTATATATTCTTTCGAAAGCTGTCTTCCTATATCTGGTCCATTTTTTAATTGGCTTGTTGGCTTTCTCTTGTTGCTAGGCAAAAAGCCTGTACACTAAAGGAATGAGTCCTTTTTCTGTGGGAACAGTGGGTTTATTTCTCCCTGGTCATTTGCTGTTGTGCTTCAGGTTAGGCATTCCCTCTGTACCCTCCTTTAAACTTCAAAGGCTTGGGGCCTGGGAGATGGCTCAGCAGGTAAGGACACTTGCTGTGCAAGCTTGAGGACCCGAGTTTGAATCTCTAGCACCCACATAAAAAACAAGCATGATTGTGTGTGTGTACCTGTAAACCCAGTGCTATGGAGGAGGGACAGAAATAGGAAGATTCAGGGGCTTTCTGGCTACCCTTCTAGCTCCAGGTTCAGTTAAAGGCCCTGTCTCAAAGAAATAAGGTGGCTAATGATAAGGCAAGACACTGGGTGTCCTCCCCAGGTCTCAGTGTATCTATGCACACATACTTAAGCATAACACACACACACACACACACACACACACACACACACACACACACTTAAAGGCTTTGGGGAAGAGAAATAAGTGGAATTTTGAATCTCCACTGAGCCCAGGCTGGGAGCCTGGGAGCCTTCCCAGTTGTTTCCTTGGTTATAAAATTGGACAGGGGCCTTGTGGAGCTCTGAACCTCCTGTGGTTCCCCTAACCTGAGACTGGGGTCTAAAGTTCTGACTCATCTGAGATGGAACCTAATGCTCTTGAGTGGTAGAGATTGAGGTGAATGAACTGGGATAGGGATAGAGCCAGAAAAAGAGAGTCAAAGACCAGCAGCTGACTCCAGGGCTACCCTGTGGCCATCGTACTGTGTTTCCCACTGGCCAGAACTCTCAAATTGTTACCTTCGGGATGGCCCAGATTACCCACCAAAACCCAAAGGGGATTTAGTCTTTGTGCTGGGAGACAAGAGAGGGCTCTGTCCCCTCTCAGCTGGAGTCTAGCAGGGATGGCTGCTCTGTCTTCCAGCAGCCCCAGCCCTTTGCAGGGCTCAGAGGGCCATCCTTGGGCACCTTAACACTGGCATCATCCTGCAGGAGAATGCAATGCCCAAAGGCCCAAGGGACTAAGCAGGGACAGGGGTAAGAGAGAAGCAGCAGTAACACAGGAACCTAGGACTCCTGGGTCTCAGTGGACTGTTCTGCAACTGGGCCAAGTCCCTGGAAAGACTGAGGAGAAAGCCAGTGTGCCTGTCAATAACAAAAGCTCATGTTCACTGCTCACCCTGCCCACAGGCCCATCTCATTCTCCCCTGCAACTCCATGGGTAAGCACTAATGGCTCTTTTAAAAGATGCAGAAACGAAGGCAAATACACAGACACACCCAAGAGAGGCAGAGTGGGCCTGGGAGAAAACAGTAGCAATCATTCAACAAAAGCATCTAGCCTAAGCCCAGAGAGGGAGTCCCAGCAGGCACTGCAGGGGGAACAGGGTCCCTATGGTCTGCACTTTCTCCAGCACCCTTCCCTGGTACTGTTCCTTAGGAGGCTGGTCCTTTCCGCATCTTCACCTCAGCACTCAGCCTAGAGCTGGGTCCTGGTCCCCATTCAGTTATCTTTGTCACATGAATCAGAGAAAAGTTTGCTGGTCTGGAAGCACTACACTGCTCCAGCCTGGAGCTAGCAACCCTACTGCCAACATACAGAGGCCCTCTGGACAACGGGTCCCCTTCTGTCCCAGGAAGGAGATGGGCCAGAGCACGTCTATGTCAATGTCACTTGGAGCAGCTCCACCTTCCAGGAGTGCTGTCCCTTCCCAGAGCACCTGATAGGCTTCCATCATATCCCTCATGGGGCCACTGTGTTGTGACTTTGCTGTGAGATCCAGGTGAGCAGCCACCATGCAGGTACCAGTTAACTATCGTCCAGTCACCTGACAGATGCTCAGAGCTGCTTGTGGAATGAATGAGTATAAGCAAGCTTTGTCACA